TGCTAAAATATAATATATATATAAAATATATAAAATACAAAAAAGACATTTACAGTGCTCAGTGGTAAATTGATGTTCAGAAAATGTATTTTCCTCCAGAAATATGGGAACATATATTTTTATATGTTGATGCAGTGACGCTTACGAATTTAAAACTTGTATGTAATTCCTGGAATGAAATCATCAATAAGATTTTGAAGGTATATTATACACCTTATACATGTGCATGAATTTCATTTTGAAATGAAAGAATTGTTTATAAGTTTATAATTGTAATTTCTAACTATCAACCACAGAAAAATAACCACTGGTTCAAAGCTTGTGAAAGAGACATACCAGAATATTTATGGAGCACTTTCTGTGAGTCATTGAATCCTACAAGGTATTACACTGAATTCCATGAGAAATGTGATTCTGAAATGTGGATGGCATTATACAAACTATGGATTACATGCAAAAATGTAATGAGATGGAATTTAGATGCTAAATTCATTGAACCATTAAGAGCAGACAATAGCACAGAACAGATTACCTGCATTGGAACATCAGGTAGTATAGTTAGATTAAAAAATATCAGATTACGATTAACATTGAAGTGCTGATGTATATCGTATAATGTCCAAGTGACTTCATATCGTTGATGGTAGCATTACTGATACAGAGTTAATTTGACATTATTGATGGGGAGTTTACTTGATATTAAGTCACCACTATATATGTTACCACTAGCGCTATTAAAACAGTGGTTACCACTTCAAGATTAATTTTAAATACTTCTATACAGGAAACCTAATGGCTGTGGGATCTAGTGAAGGTTACATTTATTTTTACGATATTTGTGATATACATAAAGGAGCATTTTATGTAGTTGATCATTTGGAATGTGTGCAGAGCATACAATTTATTAGAGATGGTATTTACATATTGTAACAATTAATTTTAATATAGATTCTTAACTAACACTATTTATTTTCTAGAAACGTGTACCGTTTGTGTATGTCGTTCTCCAAACAACCACATAAGTATGTGGGATGTCACAGAAAAAATGTTGATTGAAAAAAAAAGGGGGGAGCTGATTTGGTATGGTTTCAATAATATAAAGTACAAACAAAATAACATAACTATTCCAATTGTTATTAAGTAATAAATGTTTAATAGTACAAGTTACAGTTATTGTTATACTGCTGTCCGTAATATGATAATTGTCGAAGGGCCAATACCTAAAACAATATATGAATTTAATACAACTAAAGTTATTGCTATTGGTGCAGATAATGATAAGGTAGTAGTTTCAGTATTATTCGACAGATTGTTAAGTCAATTCAATAAATTTAAATAATAAAATGTCATAATTAAGGTACACCTTTACACACGGGAGCATTTTGTGCATTTAAATTTGGATGGTGGAAGTAAGAAGTATGTAACTTGGACTCTTGCTGAACCGCCAAACACAAGAATTCGTCGTTTTTATATATTTAAACCGGATAGGGTTGTCTGCATCGCAGGTAATTATAGTTTCAGCAGTTCTCAATTCTGTAATATATAATTGATGAATATTTTCTATGATTTTAGAGAATGGTTATCTAGGATTTTTAGTGAAAGGCGAGGAATGGGAAATGCACAATTTACTTCCGATTCTACATGCCACTCCGACCACGGTTTTAGTATATGGTCATGTACTTTTCGTAGGCGTAGATTCTGGTAATATATTGTACATTATGCCAGCTTTAGTATGTCAAGAACATTGCTGATTGTACTAAATAGTAATCATAATTTTCAGGAAATGTCCATGCATTTTATATAGATGACTTCGAAGCAATTAACTTCAATACCATTGATTCTAAGCAATTGACCCTTGAATACACAGCTGTTGTGTCATTGAATATACTCGCACATATCGAATCCTATTTAATAGTTTCTTATACAAAAAAAGTCTACTTAGTTCAATTAAATTAACATGTAGTTTTTATTTCTAAATATTGGTGAAGGAATTGTTTCCTTTGGCAGGGCAATAAACTATATATCTATGTAAACATTCATAACATACTTATTAGAAAAATTTATTTTACAAAATTATAATTTAATATTTAAATTACTGGAATAATTGTCTTTACACTTTATAATTCTGTGCAGTTCCAGTACCATATATAGAATCCCACTCAACATAAGTCGTTAGACTGGATTCCGATACACTAGGACGTACGTAAATCAGTGCCTCCTTGAAATCGTCGACTGTTATATGTCTGACATCCTCTTTTTTAATATTCTCCAACTGACTAAATGGGATACTCCTTATTGGTCCCATACTAGCTTCTTTGCACAAATTGCACATATCCGCCCCCGAATATCCCTGTGATTGTTCAGCTATGTGATTAATTTCTTCTTCTGTAAGATTATGTGGAATTGTTATCAATAAGTTATTTATAATTTGTTTACGAGCTTCGAATTCTGGTAAGGGAACGTAGAGGCGTTTAACGAGTCTTCTACGTGCTGCCTCGTCTAGCTCGTGAGGTCTGTTCGTTGCTCCCACAATTAAAATACGATCTTCCTCTGCGGTGGCGGCTCCATCCAGTTGTACTAAAAACTCAGTTTTCAGTCTCCTAGAGCTTTCGTGTTCAGTCTCAGATCTTTGTGTGAGCAAGGAGTCAATCTCGTCTACAAAAATAACCGCTGGTTGATAAACTCTGGCAACAGCGAATAATGCCCTGACCATTTTTTCTCCTTCTCCTATCCACTTAGAGGTCAACGAGCTTGCAGAAATCGAAAAAAACGTTGATTTACTTTGAGCTGCTATGCACTTGCCTATAAGTGTCTTACCAGTACCTGGGGGACCAAATAATAAAATTCCTTTAGGAGGTCTTCTTAAACCAGTAAAAATATCAGGTCTCAACATAGGATACACAACTACTTCCTTGATAATCTTTTTTGCATATTGTAATCCAGCAATATCATCCCAAGAAACTGTTGTTTTGCAGTCCATTATCTCATTCTTTATCAGCTCTATCATTTTTGGTTCAATGTTCTTTAATCTTTCATCCTCTACTTCCATTGTTTCAGTGTCATTGTTGTACATGTTATCAGGGGCTTGAGCTTTTTCTTTCTCTTTCCTAAAAGGACATACAAATCGAGAATTGACAGATGCTTTACCACCTAGTGTCTTTTTCTGTCCTGGTTTGTTAGCTTTCATCTGTTGTACTGTTAATTCATCTCTAGCCGTCTTGAAGGAGTTTGTTTTCGGTTTAGATGCTTCAGAATCTTCTTTAGCATTTTGAATAAAAACTTGTGATTTTGATTTTACATTATTTTTAGAAGTATTTGGTGCTTCATGATTATTTTTATGTGCATTATAAGAATTCTCTCTTACAAACTTGGCAGGTCGTTGGTGGGATGCAAAGCGTTGGTGTTCTTGACTTGTTAAAGTAGCTTTTATAGATTCATGTTTCTTGTAACTTACATAAGTGTTGCTACTTTCTTCTATAGAGTTACTTGATGCAGATGAGAAGGAAGATCGTTCTATTTCATTTAAAGTATTACTTTCTGACCTCTCTTTGGTGCCTATATTTATACCAGGACTAAGATTAAGTTTAGTTTGTGCACTAACTTTCCTACTTCGTACTAAGAATTCTTTATTTTTCCAAGTATTTATAATATTTTCAATATGCTTATCGTTGACTACCCTTTTTTTACATGGCAGTGTATTGTCAGGTTGGCAAGGTAAAGACTTTACAAAATTCAATGCTGTTTCTGTATCAGTTAATCCAGTCTTCCATTTCTGTGGATTATTGTTGATTTTTGGAATTTGAGCTTTGAACTGTTTCCAATAATTGTTAACTCCATTTTTATTTTCCATTAAACTTTGATAATCTTTTAGGCTTCTTCGAAGTAAACATATTGCCATGTCCTCTGATTCACTGTAATGCCCAATATGTTATTATGTTAACTATCAAGTGGTGATTACTGTTTTAATATCATTAGTAATAACATGTCATTAAATTGACTTCTTATTAATAATAGTGACTTGATGTCAAATTGACTTCATATCAGTAATGGTGATATATATAAAATTTCTGTGTACATAATGTTTCTGTATATAAACATTTATAATATTTATGCAGAGTTAATTTAATATCTCATTACATATTGTCAAATTGACTTCATATCAATAGTGGTGATATATATAAAATTTCTGTGTACATAATGTGTGTGTGTTTCTGTATATAAACATTTACAATACTTATGCAGAGTTAATTTAACATCTCATTACCAGTAGCAATACAGAATCAATTTGATGTCGAGTCACCATTAATTGCTACAGAACCAATTTAACTTTAAATTACCACTATCGATACAGAGTCAATTTGACTTCAGGTCACCATTATTTCTACTATTGATGATACATCTACTAATGATACATAGTCAATTTGATGTACATCACTACTAATGCAAAAAGTCAGCTTGAGGTACGTTACCACTCTGAGGTTAATATTATAACGTTTATTATATTGTTACAATGGTTAAAAACTTACAATTGTTTTGCGGTGAAATATTTTGTGGCAAGACATCTACGTTCAAGATCTGCAAATTCTGTGTCATCTTTCTCGGCTTGAGAAAATTTTAAAATATGATATGCCGCTAAAAAGTTGTTTCTCTCTTTATTAACTGTTGTTTCGGATGTAGCCATAACCTCGAAAAAGATTTCGGAATTTGCCAACTAAAAACCTTTACCTACATCAAGAATATGGTTGTATACATATAACATCGCATAATTTATTCATAAAGTTTAAATATTCGTACCTGTATCATGTATTTGTATCTATGTATATAAGTAATTAATCAATCAGATTTAAATTTAAAGTCTTCAAAAATGGGCTCTTTTGTTCCTTACTTCACTACCTTACAGTTTGATATTTTATAACAGATACAGACGAGTTTAGTAAGCCATCGAGAGAGACAGAATGGAACCAGCTGGTTTTATGCGTGAATGTCCACACAGACGAGAGACCTAGGTTGTCTCGTTTTACCGTGCTTGCGGTCTCACTCTTTTCGCGCATCCGTACCCCTGGACGCTCCATCTGAAACACGCGGCGCGATATCCGTCTTGTACTTTTCGCCCCGCAGGATTCTCAACACAGTCCAGCGTAATTTGCCAACGTCTTAAAAGGACGATCATTTCTTTAGTTATTAAAATTTTGGAGAACCCGTAAGTTATACGATTTTGTTAAATCAGCTATCCCAGTACTTGTTAATTGCAACAGACTCAATGCTCTACTTTATGAGGAGTTTCGAAAACAACGAATAATTTCGCAATTTTATACGATTTTTACTTTTCAAAATTTGAAAAACAAAGTTGAAACTTGTATTCGTATTTTCTTAGAAAGTCTATATATTTCATTTAGTAATTACCTACAAAAAATTTCAAACTTAAAGATTTAGAGAATTACAGTTAAGAAATATTGAAAATTGTAACAATTTACCGGCAAAAAAGAGTTAAAAGCTACATGAAACAATTCTAAAACGTCTAATAGAAATTCTGATCTGCAATCTACAACGAAACTAGGCTGTGTTTGCACATAGAAAATTGTATTTTATTCGGACATCGACATTCTCACTTCTGGAGCGAATAAGGACGAACATTCCCGCTTGCATGAATTTAATGTTATTATTAATTAGAGGAGCCTGAGGAACACATGAGATTGTTGTTGCTTCTGTGGTTCACAAATTTAATCTCAAAAAATGAAGCTCTGTTCGATATTCATACAGCGCCAATTGGTGCAGTGGCAAAACGATCAAACAGTTAGTCAAATTCGATTGTTGGTAATTCGGCGAACAGTTTGAGCGTTTTGTCTTAGTACTAATCACTTATTTCCATACTCTCGTATATAATATACAGAGTGAAATAGCTGAGATCATTCTAAGTAACTTTTTCCTTTGCGAAAATGCAATCTGCGGCTTTGTTGACGAGTTATTAATGAAAAACACCGACCAAGGAGACACAATGGCGCGAAACACAACGTGGTCAATCGATCGAGTGCCATGTGCTCCTACCACTGAGTTTGACAGCTGAAGGGGGACTCTGTGCCGCGTTCAAATTAATGAACAAGTCTCGGAACATGAACTTTCGATATTTTTTTTACCACGTGGCAGTGATAATTTTAAGAAAAACGCTGTTCATACATTGTACGAGGTCAATGCATTATCCTCCAGCACACATTTCCGACCATGTAGTGGATTAACAACTAAATGGGTGAGTTTCTTATTGATAATATTCTTCATATTTCTCTATCAAACAAATCTCTTACGTCCTTTAACACGATTATTATTTATTAAATTAGCTTTGCGAATCGCTCGTTGAATTGTGTTCGGACGCGGAATTATTTAAATTAAAATTTAATAAATTAACATTTACGAACTTTGTTAATCTTCACCTTGCATTAAAAATTTCATATAG